GAGTTGGAAAAGTGATACATAAGGGTTGTTGATTTAGATTTCGGAGCCGTGAGCTCCCTCAACGTTCTTGTTTCAAGAGCCATAGTGATTGGCTCTTCGGTGTCGCTAGAATGAGAACTAGCACTTGATGATTCCTCCGAAGAAGTATTCGGAAATAAATTCCTAAACCTCTCGAAGGCTTGTTCTGTTTCGGGCTTTGTTTGGTAGGTGATTTGGTTTATAGATCGGTGTTTAACCATATACTCAAAGCTCTCAAATAGAAAAATAAGAACTCTTTATATTTTTATTTAATATTTTTTTTGATTTTTTCTTAAAATGAAATAAAAGAAAAATTAATTGCCTTTCCCCGGCAAAGGCGCCAAATTTGTCGTGCCCTTGTCGTGAGGTGCACTAAAAATAATTACAATACAACGATTATACGTAGTATAACGAAGTAAGGTTCGTATCCACAGGGAAAGGAATACTTTTCTTCTATATAAGTAGTAACAAGGGGGGTTTAGATTTGTTTGATTTAAAAATACTAAGATGAACAACCTATATGAGCTTGATTAATAGATGTGGTGGCTTGGTTTTGCTTTTATCCGCTTCATGAAATGTTCGCCGATCGCGGTTATATCTTTAACTATCTTCCTCTCGAATACTCAATCGAGGAGTATATCTAGTTCATCGAGGGTAGTTATTAATAACGAGATGCGTTCATCAATAAAACTTACTAACGAATCAATATAGAACAAGCCGTATATTAACTTGATAGTAGCAATAAACTTAAGATGAAAATGATTGAGATTGATAACCTCAACACAAGCGGTTTATTGGTTTAATCAATATAATTAATTTCCCTTGGCATATTAACCATGAGATGCATGCATTAATAATCCAAGTTTTACTACCGTTGAAAGAACCGGATTAATAACAAGCGTATTAACCGATTGATTCTAGTAATAATTAATATGAGAAACAAAACTAGTTGATACTTTAATTAATGTTTAAAATATTATCATGAAATATGAATAGGAATTAATTAATACTCAAGGAAGAATATTAAAGAATATGAATCCTACTATGATTAATATCAAGATGTTAACTAATTGTCATCTTAGTAACACTCTCCAATATTAACATAGAGGAAGAAATAACTATTACTATAACCATTGTCAAGATGTTAACTAATTGTCATTTTAGTAACACTCCCCAACTTTGATATAGAAATAGTATTTTAAAGGAAGAATTAATATTCAAGGAAGAAGATTAAAGAAAATAACTCACAACTTACAAATTCATTAAGCTTCAAAGTAGCAAAACCAAGATGGGAGAGTTTAGCTCCTCATTTGGAGACTAAACATGATGAAAAATATAAAGAAAGAACTATTCTATACTGAGCTTAGATGTACAAAGGAATTGGATGATCATTTGTGAAGGAAAGGGGGTGTATTTATAGGTTTTTGGGATGGGATTCGGGTACTCGATCGGGTGTATACATGGTACCCGATCGAGTATGTGTGTAATACCAGATTCGAGGTATACTCGATCGGTTTTAGGCTATGTTCCAAAGGTATACCCGATCGGGTATATGTTCATACTCAGTCGAGTATGTGTAGAAAGTGATATTCGAGCCATACTCAACCGATTTTACGTTTAAACTCAAAGGCATACCCGATCGGGTATGTCGGTCTACCCGATCGGGTATAGACAATCAATCGTGGCCGAAATCTTCCCGACATGTTCCCTTGTCTTCGGATCTGATCCGATTTGAAGTTTCAACCTAATACCCGATCGAGTATAGGTTATACCCGACCGAGTATAGGTTATACTCGACCGAGTATAGACCAAAATTTCAGGATCCTTCTTTTGTCTTCAAATTAAGCACCTTCCTTCCACTTTTTGTGGTTCACCAACTGTCCTTTGAGCGATCAAGACCTGTTTGAGCTCAGAATATACCTAATCTAAACTATTTACAAGAATTTAACAAACTAAGCTATTACACCAAAAGTGTGTAATTTCCAAAGTAAAAATCAAGCAAAACTAATTAAAAATGCAAACATATACATGGAAACTACAAACGTATCACTAGGTACTCCACCCGAGATAATCGAGTTTTGAGGATTCACGCCCGATCCCTGGTACTCCACCCGACCTATGATCTACCACATATCATACTAGATAGGGTCTATATTATAATCAATAATCAAGACTAAACCAAGTCTTAAGGCCTAAGCATAATCATCCATGCAATTCATGCATTAAAAATCAACATATGTATAGGAAAAACCATACCGAATCGGTGTTGGTTCAGACATGACCGGCGCCGGTTCATGAATTAAATCAACGGAACCGGACACCCCGTACCCAAACCGGCGCCGGTTCTGCACATGACCGGCGTCGGTTGCCCCCTAGGCAACCGGTCAACACTTCGTTGAGCCGCCAATTCATTTAGTTAAGCTGTCCACCACCACCAAAATCACATCTTTTTCATGTGATTTGGGTAATCCCTCTATGAAATCCATGCTGATGTGGCTCCATGCTTGGTCATATTTGGGTAGAAACTGCAATAGACCCGGGTAGGGTCCCTTGTCAGCTTTGGTAATAGCACAAACTTCACACTTCTGTATCCATCAGGTAATATCTACTTACGTTTTTTGCCAGAAAAAGGTCTTCTTAACCCTGATAAGAGTAGCTTGTATACCTGAATGCCCTCCTACAGCTTCTTAACCCCGATTTTCTTTTGACTCTCTAGTCTATATTCTATGAAAAAAGAACTAATTTTCACCTATCAAGCCCAATAAATTTAACTAATAGTTTTTCGGGCAAATATCTAAAAGCCCAATGAATTTAACTAATAATTTTTAAAAAGCCCAAGAACGTCACAATATTAGCATCAAACTCATTCAACCTTTGAGATTAGTGTTATGAGGCTTGTAGAAACTGATGGAGACCAAGTTTAAATAAATACGTTTGAAGGAAGAATCATTTTCTTCTTCCGGAGAGGGTCAAAGACATTTGGGGGGGGGGGGGGGGGGGGGAGGGAATGAAAATAGGAAATATTGGGGAAAATGAAAATTTAAAACTTGTTATACCTGGGGATTGAACTCGTGATGTATAATTGTATAAGTTGCATGCATCAGCCTAGTTTTTTCACACCAACATGGTTACTGATTACATTTCGACGTTTATTGTTATTATACCGTTGGCTTTCAGTTATGTGCCAAATTCGCCCATGATTAGGGGTGGGTTCGGTTCTTGCGGTTCGGTTTTGACCTAAAACCAAATATCGAATCAAAGTAAAAAATTCGGTTCGGTTTCGGTTCTACACTCCAAAACTTGGAACCACGGTTTAATTGGTTTGGTTTGTTTCGATTCGATTTCGGTTTTTTCGGGTTTTTACCAAAAAATTATCATTTGATTTAAAATTGATATAATACTTTGAGGGATCAAACATATATTACATAAAGAATGCAAGCACTCTACAACAAATAAAATAAAAATGAAAATAAATAAATATGTCATGAATTATATGAGTATGCGAGAGAGGTAAAAGTATATATTATTAATTTACATTGTTTGTGACTAGTTCAAAAAAAGTTCATGAGTATATACGTTATATGTGATATAGTTGAGATAAATATTTATTGTTTCATCAATACGAATTGTTTAAGTTAAATAAAAATAAAAGTTAATTAATACTAATAACAAGTAAAAATATATTATCAGTATAGCTACATTATTACGTACAATGAATGTGTAAATGAATTCACAAACTAAACAAAACATAACAAACATTATTTCTCTAGCCCAAGAAAACAAAAAACTATTAATGATATTAGGATTAGTTAGGATTAATGCTTAACAATGGACAAATAAATTTTACTCCGTATGTTTAACTAGTTCGGTTTGTTCGGTTCGGTTCGGTTTTGAAGGGTAAAAACCAAAACTGAACCAAACAACTACGGTTCGGTTCGGTTTTTTACATTCGGTTTCGGTTTGTTAGCGGTTCAGTTTTATTTGGCTACGATTCAGTATGATTTGATTCGGTTTTCGCTTTTCGATTTTTCGGACCCAACCCTACCCATGATTACAATATTATTCCAAATTTTCATGCATGGACAAAAATGTTACTAACAACATAACAAATTGGAAACTATGGGTGTCATTATGAGTTTATTATGTCAATGAAGATAATTTTTTTATGTCATCATCAAATATTTCCGGTGTCAATGTTGTTACCATCGATGCCACTATTGTTGTGCATGAAATATGCCATTGTGACTGTCAAATCTTTTTACAATGACTAATTCTGGAGAATTTAAGAAAACCCAAAAAATATGAAAATTTTATGATTCACTTTCTTTCGACTTTTCTCTAGATATGTACTACAGTGAGTCCATAGTCCATCAACAAGATAATGGATAAATTTACATAATCTGAGGAAGCGTACATTCAAGGGCATCGGGGCATATCTAAGGCTATATATTGTGGACCGGTATAAAAAGTTTTTGCGCGGATCTCGCCTATGATGATTGATGACCTATGTGTTCCGCCCTCATAATTTGCCCCTTCAGATGTTTATTTTACAAGTTATTTTACATGGCGATCGAATTATCTTTGCACAGACAATTTTTGTCATTTTGTGAAGAGAATCGTTTTCGAACTGATAAATAAAATCGTCACTGCGTAAAACAATCCCCTTCACAAAAATGAATTTTTTTATCTATGCATAGACAATTCTTGTAAAATAACGTGTAAAAATGTGTATCTTTGTTGACGGGTAGAAACAACATTTTCCCCTGGTCAAGTTACGATGCTACCTGCCTTTCTTCAATTCTTCTTGTTTACTACCTCCCCGTGATTGCGCAATCTGTCTGTCTAATGTCTATGTTTAATTACGTTCCGGGATACATTAAATCAATCACACCTTTCATAGATTTACCGGTCAATGTACGTAGCCGGCCCCAATCAACCAGCTTCTGTTCCCACCCAGCAATCCCCGCCCCCTGAGCGATCACTAAATTCCAATCCCACTTATATAAACCACACACACTGAGGAATTAATTAGTTCACCCGCCGATCCAAACCAAGCTTGTCATCATGCCGCCCCCCCTTTTCTCCTTCGCCATTATCATCCTGTCGCTATTCCTCGCCCTCTCCTCTGCGTTGAAATCGGGCACCTCCCCCTTCAAAAATGCCTGCAAAGTCTCGACTGACCCACAGGCGTGCGAGTCCGCACTCGCTACCTCCGGTCTGAAGACCACCCCTTACCCGTCAGCGGACCAGATCATCCACGCGGCGATGAAAGTCTCCTCCGATCAGCTTGACACTGCCAAATCCAAGGTGCATGATATCCGGGCACACTCCACAGGAACGAACATGACAGTCGCGGCGGACACGTGTCTCGAACTGTACGAATACGTGGAGCATCGGATGAATTCCTCCGGCGAGGCCCTCAAAAGCGGCGAGATCAAGGACGCCCGGGCGTTGATGAGCGCCGCATTCGCGTACCAATACGACTGCTGGTCGGCGCTCAAGTACGTCAACCAAAGCTGGCTGGTCAACGACACAATGGCGTACACGTGGACACATCTTCTGTTCACCGGCGACGTGCTGGGAATGCTGGCGAACTACGACCAGGTCGGAGGCGATACCAGGTCGTGGGCCCCGACGAAAACCGAGCGCACCGGGGCCTGGGAGAAGACCGACGGATCCAGGCAGGCTATCGTCGGCGGGGTTCCATCCGGGTTGACCCCGGACGTGACGGTGTGCAAGCAAGGCAGCTGCAGCTTCGAGAAAGTTCAGGACGCCGTGAACGCCGCGCCGGATCGCAGTCCGACCCAGAAGTTTGTGATACTGATAAAGGCCGGGCTCTACGAGGAGATAGTTCGGGTCCCGTTTAATAAAACGAATGTGGTGTTTTTAGGGGAAGGCATGGGCAAAACTATCATCGCCGAAGACTTGAATGTGGGACTTGCCGGAATTACAACTTACCACTCTGCCACTGTTGGTAAGACCATACTCATCTTTCTCATATTGGTATATACTTCTTCAACTTCACTCCAAAGTTTGTTCCACATATAAACTTTTCTTGTGTGATTATATCATCAATTTGGCTGAAATGAAATCCGCTTATTCAACTCAAACTTATGAAGTTGTGTCTGAATTGGTTGATTCTTGTGTGATTATATTGTCAATTCAGTTGAATCGACGAATTCTAGTGAAACTTGTAAAGTTGTGGTTGAATCGCTGATTGTGGTGATTTATGTATTACTTAATATTCTCTTAAGGGAAAGTTCTCGAAATAGGACTAAAATAGTTTGAAAATTCTAAAATAGGATTGTCATGTCTTTTATTTTCAAAATAGAAGTAACTACTATCAAGTTTAGAAAATACTTTCATGTTTGAAGTCTGGTACGCCAAAACATGGACATTAATTAGTCACATTTTAGGAATAAAAACATGGGAGTCCTATTTTAAAATTTTCAAACCTTTTTAGTTATATTTCGGATAATATTATCTTAAAAATAGTTGTTATATATAAAGAACTATTTTAGCAGAGGACCATTTTATATATATAATAAATCATAAATAAGATTGTTGTTGTTGTTGTTTGTTTTTTATGGGCCAGGTGTGAATGGAGATGGATTCATGGCGAAGGGCCTGACGATCAAGAACACGGCCGGCATCGGGGCTCATCAAGCAGTTGCCCTCCGGCTGGACAGCGATCATTCGATCATAGAAAGCTGCGAGTTCATCGGCAATCAAGACACCCTCTACGCCCACTCCCTTCGCCAGTACTACAAGGACTGCCACATCCAAGGCAACGTTGACTTCATCTTCGGAAACTCCGCCGCGGTCTTCCAAAACTGCACAATCTCCGTCGCACCCAGGCAACAGAACCCGAAGAAGGCGGACAAGAACACCGTGACGGCCCACGCGAAGCTCATCGCGGCCCAGACTACGGGCTTCGTCTTCCTCAACAGCAAAATCAACGGGACGGAGGATTTCATGCGGTTTTATGCGCAAAAACCTGCGCAGTTCAAGGGCAGCTGCTTTCTAGGAAGGCCGTGGAAAGAGTATTCGAGGACGGTGTTTATAGACTGTACGCTGGGGGATCTTATTTCTGTGGAGGGATGGGAGATCTGGGACGCCAACTCCACGCTGAGTAACCTTTACTACGGGGAGACGGGCAGCAAAAATGCGGCCGGAGAAGCTGTTGACCTGACAAAGCGTGTGCATTGGAGTAGCCACATCGAGAATGAACATGTGCCTTCCTACTATCCCCAGAATTTCATCCAAGCTCGTAAATGGTTTTCCTAACTCCCCAGAACATCACCTTCTTGTTTATCATCGATTATACACTCCATAATTATAATTTCTCTATCATTTAATTACTCTTCGTTACATACATGCAGTAATGTACTCCCTTTTATATACTACGTATTATACGTACAGTTCCCTCTCATTTGATTACTTGTAACATTTGCATGTCACGTTTTTCAAGCAACTTTATTTGTCCATTATTACTGGCTAATTGGGCATTAAAAAGAATCATAAAAAACTAGCTAGACCTTTATAATTTAAAATGAGACAAACTTCATACGGAGAAGTAGTATTTTTCAAAATTAATCGACATATGCATTACTAATTAAATTAAAATGTAATTGGATAGGGGAAATTTCACAAGAAATTTTACTTTTTACTGGTCTTCTCATAATAATCCCACATTTACGTAATCCCAGAATAATCTCACCTTTGCACACCATCTACTTTCGGTGGACCTTAATCGGTGGATGACCTACTATACCCGGGTTTCTTTTACACTTTCTTTGGAAGTCTTACAATATTACACCTTTCACAAATATGCTCAAAACGGTCTCATGTTTCATTTTTTCTTTTTTTTGCCTAAAAAATTTTCCCCTTTTATTTTCATCTCTAGACACTTTTTATTCCTTTTTCTATCCTTTTGTTCTTATTTCTTTTCCATTTTTATTATTCTATTTGTCATTCTATTAGGAGAGTTTTTTGTTGTAAAATTCCCCTAAAAATTAAATAGTTCATTTTGTCGTTTTCTTTTTCTTATCGTATTTTTATTTCATTTCCATTTTTATGTTTTTCTTCTCAATCGGTTTTTCTTATTTGTCACTCTACTTTTTGTTATATTTTCTTTTTATTTTCGCTATCCTCCTTTTTTCTTCTCGTTACTTTATTTATGTTTTTTCTTCTTTCTTCTTCTCTTTCTTCTTGTTATCTTAATTTCACCATCAATATGTTTTTCTCCTTTCTTGACTATTGTATTTTTCTAAGTAAATTCACCATTAATTGCATCAATTGTGGGAAAAACTCTATGTGATAAAAAGATTATGGAAAAATAAAACATTTGGAAAATGTAAAGAAAAATAAACATTAGGGAAAATGTATTTTTTGTCTTTCATTTTCGCTAATATTTTATTTTTCTTTTAATTTTCTACTAATATTATTAGGAAGTGTTTACATAAAATTTTAGAAAGTGTTTTTCACCTTTTGACTTTAAAAGGCTGAAATAGATGTTTTCAAATGACAGCTTATGCTTAAATTAAGTACTTAAAAGCTAAAAAAATGGAAGAAGGTTGAGGGTGCTATGAACTGCTTTTCACTTTTTATATTACATGAAGTGCAAAGATCAAATTCTCCCTTTTTTATTTATTTAACATTTTATACAAAATTGGCCAAACTGGGAGGAATAGTGTGTCGTGCACTCGTTCGTCCCTTTCTTCGGTTCCTATCTCATCAGGCCACTGTGATTTGCTGTTAGCCATTGTTAACAGTTAACGGTGATGATATCTGCTCCCAATTCCCACCCACGCCACGCCTTTCTTCTTCTTAAGCTCAATTCCACCATCTGCCGATACGCGTGAATGTACCTTGACCAAGTCAAGCATACTACCCACAGGGCTGTCCCAATCCCAATTCCCCCCACTCATCATAAATGCCTGACCACTATGTCCACCAGAAAGCTTATTAAACCCTCCTGTCCGTTGAAGCTCTTGTACATATCCATGGCGTCCCTTTTCTCCTTCGCCCTCATCCTCTTCCTCGTCCTATTCTTCACCCTCTCCTCCGCCTCCCGCCACCACGGGGCGCCGAAATCTGACGGCGGCGGCGGCGGCGGTTTACCCCTCTCCGCCCGTAATGCCTGCAAGGTCTCCGCTGACCCGTCAATGTGCGAGTCCCAACTCGCCAGCTCCGATCTGATTCCGCCTAACCCGACTGCGGTCCAGATTATCGAGGCGGCGATGGGGGTCTCTTCTCAGAAACTCCAGCAGGCGAAATCCATGGTGAACGATATCCTTAACCGCTCCCAACAAAACCACAACCGCACAGTTGCGGCCGAAACGTGTCTTGAGCTGTACGGATACGTGGAGCCGCGGATGAAATCCGTCGGAGAAGCTCTCCAGAGCGGCAAGATCAAGGACGCCCGGGCGTGGATGAGCGCCGTACTGGTATACCACTACGACTGCTGGTCGGCACTCAAGTACGTGAACGAAACCTCACAGGTGAACAGAACAATGGCGTTCACGTGGGCGCTACTAGGGTTCACCGGCGACGCGCTGGGGATGCTGGTGAATTACGACCAGGTCGGGGGCGATACCGGGTCGTGGGGCCCGCCGAAAACCGAGCGCGACGGGTTCTGGGAGAAGGGCGACGGATCCGGGTCTGTTATCAACGGCGGGGTTCCATCCGGGTTGACCCCGGACGTGACGGTGTGCAAGCAAGGCAGCTGCAGCTTCGAGAAAGTTCAGGACGCCGTGAACGCCGCGCCGGATCGCAGTCCGACCCAGAAGTTTGTGATACTGATAAAGGCCGGGCTCTACGAGGAGATAGTTCGGGTCCCGTTTAATAAAACGAATGTGGTGTTTTTAGGGGAAGGCATGGGCAAAACTATCATCGCCGGAGACTTGAATGTGGGACTTGGCGGAATTACAACCTACCACTCTGCCACTGTTGGTAAGTCCGGCCATCAATTGCTCTAAATCACTAGTTTACCATTCTTTTTCACATTCATATATTCCATGGTTTAGTCAAGATGCTTAAAAAAAAGGATAACACCCCGTCCTGAGTCCCCTCAACCCCGACCGGACGGTACGTTGGGAGGATGTAAATTGGACTACAATTTCAATCTGATAATAGAGAGTGAGACTCTGTGCCCGGTAGGGCCTATGTAACCCCTCATCGCAGTGCCGGTATTTGAACCCGGGACCTAAGCCTCGTGTCACTCCCTTGGTACTAGTTACAATGCACAATTGCACTTACTCTATGTTGAAGAAAAAAAAATTACCCGCACGGGTAACTCAGTTGGTCGAGTGGTGGGAGATTTGGAACAATGGACCAAGGTTCGAATCCCCGCAGCGACCGGGTGGAGGTCACAGAATCTGAAATAAGGCTGGGCCTATGGTGCGCACGGGTTTACGGGCCTACTGTCATTCTGCTGACTGAGTCACCGTGACTAACCTCTCCACCATCTTGTCGGGTCGGGGTGGGGGGCTCCTGGGGTGGGAGATTCCACCTTTTGGAACAATGTTGAAGAAAAAGGGAAATGTGGTGAATGTACTGAAATTACCGATTCACAACTTTTTGTGCAAAGTAAAGAAACATCCCATCAAACATGGCTCGTTTCTCACATTAGAATAAAGAAAAGCAAAGTTACCAAACTACTCGGTACTACTTATTTCAAGAATGGAAATGTGGAGTACTATAGAAATTAGGATGTTTTACTAACTTGAGACTTGACGAGATTAGATCAGGCTTAGACATAACACATCAGAATAGATCGGATGACCGGACTTAAATTATAGTGCAATACCCATTGTACTAAACTTTTCACACCAGATAAGAGTTACACATGTAAGTCCAAACTAGATTAGCTTCAATTAGATTACTATCACACTTGAAAATTTCGGTTCAAGTTGAAATGTCTTCATGGTGATTATAACTAAATATTGATTCTTTTGAATTTCCATCAAAACCTCAGCATCATACATTGTAAACAGTGATAGTTCTGGTACTTATTATGAGTAGCAGAAATATTGAGACATTTGTTAGACCTTAGAAGTATGGTGAAGTTTGGAAATATATACCGAAATATCAATAATCTAATTAACTTTTTGATAACAACACAAATTCAGTTTTTATTCAATAAAGTTTCCCGAAACTGAATTATGTTTCACATACTAATATAATATGGGACACTTTAAAAAAACATTTCATTGATTATAGATAGCATACATGACATTGTTGCTGTTTGTTTTTTTTGGCCAGCTGTGAATGGAGATGGATTCATGGCAAGGGACTTGACGATCAAGAACACGGCAGGCATAGGAGCTCAGCAAGCAGTGGCCTTACGACTGGATAGCGATCGATCAGTCATAGAAAACTGCGAGTTCATCGGCAATCAAGACACTCTCTACGCGCACTCCCTTCGTCAGTACTACAAGTCCTGCCATATCCAAGGCAATGTTGACTTCATCTTCGGTAATTCAGCTGCAGTCTTCCATGAGTGCCAAATCTCCGTCGCACTCAGGCAACTGAAACCGGAAAAGCCGGCAAACAACGCCGTGACGGCTCACGGGAGGATCCTCGCGGCTCAGTCTACTGGCTTCGTCTTTTGGGGCAGCAAAATCAATGGCACTGAGGAGTATATGAGGTTGTATGTCCAGAACCCTAACAAGTTCAATACCACCTACCTAGGAAGGCCGTGGAAGGAGTACTCAAGGACGGTGTTTATAGACTGCACGTTAGGTGATCTTATTTCTCGTGCAGGCTGGTTTCCATGGAATGGTGATTTTGCGCTGAATACGCTTTATTATGGGGAGTTTGGCAGCAAAAATGGTGATGGAATGGCTGTTGATACGTCTGGACGTGTGAAATGGAGTAGCCAGATCCCGGCTGCGCATGTGTCCTCCTACTCCCTCCAGAATTTCATTCAAGCTGATGAATGGATCCCTACCTCCAGGGTCTTGGCCGCGTTCAAGACAAACTGAGACATTTCCCCCCCCAAAGTTTAGAGAGCCTAAATTATGTACATCATTCATCCGACTAAACTTTGACAAAATACAACCTCAGAATTTTTATTTGTTCTGTCTTTGTTTGTGGATAGTTTATTAGTACTTGTTCAATTTTTCTAATGTAGCAAATACTATACTATGCATCAAAATATATAAATATTATTTTTACATCTTCCTTCTTACATTTTGTATTTGTCTTCAAATCCTTTTACTCTATTTTCACAACCCTACCATTAGTCTGTTAGAACCCGTAGAAAGACTAAAATGGAGGAAATATAATCAATCATATATTAGCAGGATCCTACTACTCAGTATGTTAGTAGGGGCCTAGAAGCACGGTGTCTATTTTTCCCGGCCGTCCTCTTCAAGATAGAAATGGGGGATGGCAACCAACCATTCCAGCTCACTGGGTGGAGGTTACTGTGTCCTAGCGGAGGTCTCGGGTTCGAATCCCACTAGGCACATTTAGGGGAGAGGAAGGAGGTCTTGCTCCCAATGATTCTTCCTACCTTCACGGAGTTGCTCAGCGGCTGAGAAGGGAGAGGATGGTAATGAAGGTGACGAGTTCGTGTGGTGGGAGGAGCAGCCTGAAAGGTGATGCAAGTCCTGTTGGATTCGTCCTTTGGAGCCAGTACTGACGAGGCTGACTGTGATCAGATCCGGACTTAACTGTCTAGGAGCTTTGGAGGGTAGTTCATAGACTCCAGGATTATGGGAGCGTAAGCTCGACACCTGGATAATAAAAAAAAAAGATAAAAGAAATGGGGGGATGGCAAAATCGATGCCTCCGATTTTGGATCAAAGCGTCCAAGTAGACAGGCATTACTTGCATGTCTGACAAATATAAAGTTCGTTCTTGCCTTTCTACAATTTGAAAAGTATATTCAATTTTAGTTGTGTAACATTAGAAAAACAAGTATATATAATGTTTTTAGCTTTTAACTACAAGTTCGTCGTCCCTTTAAAGAAAACTACAAATTCATCTAGTCCCGACTACTTATACTAAAGACGGCAACCTTTTATCGAACAAATACATTTTTCTTTTATTTGAGAAGTTTTTAATGACTAAAAGCTATTCATTATTAAACATTTCAGGAAACATATCTTCTCCTCTAATTGTGCCACAGGTCCACCACACCAGTTTTTAACATAAATAAAACCCAAACATGAGTTCTTTACTGGAGAAGAAGTTTGCTTTGTCAAAAATGGATTCCACTCAAATGTATGGTGTTTTTTCTTAAAAAATAATAATTTATGTGGCATGTTAGAATACTCACGTTGATATAATGAATTATTAGGATTCTCTAAATATTTTAGATGAATTGGTCTTAACCATTTATCACACCAACGTGCTCCATAGTAAGCACATTGGAGCTCATTTTTCTACTACACATATGTTATTTTCTCAATCTATTGTCTCGTATTGCTCTGTTCATTATCTTACGTAGTCTGTTTTTTAGCTCTATCTAGTTCTATGGTATATTTATATAGTCAGGAACTTAGGGTAGATCAATTTAATTGTTATTTAAATTAAATTGTTAATGTGGTATGTCGCAAATAAGTTACTCCGCAATATTGTTTTATTTATACAAAGTGAGATATGTACTAGTGCAAAAAAATAAAGAAATCGTAAAAAATATCCATGGAGATGTTATGGACCCTATTGTTTAAAATTTTGCTGGGGTGCAAATTTTTATTAATTTATTAATTTTTAAGAGGGTCCATAACATCTCCATGGTCGCAAATTTTTATTAATTTATTTATATTAAGGTTTTGCTGGGGTGCCATAAAAAATCAAAATAAAAAAATAAATATCGTAAAAAATAATTAAAAAAATATAAACCCAACTACCACCTCAACCACCTTCCAGCACCGCCACCTCCGGTCGCCAGAAAAGATTGCCAAGTTGAGAAAAAAATGTCATCATGATAGCAATTTTGAAGAGAAAGTGAGAGAAAGCTGGATATTTTCAAAGAGTAAAAATGTCATCTTTATGGCATTTTCAGAGTAATGTGACATTTTTTACACAAGATGTCATTTTTTTCCGGCGACCGAAGTCTGTGGTTCTGGGAGGTAGATGACGCGTTGGCAGTGACCTACATTATTTTATAATTTTTTTAGGCATTTTATTTTATTTTATGGACTTTTCTAAAAAAAATTAAAAAATTATGTATTATTTTTAATTTTTTTACTTTTATTTTATTTTTTCACATTTTCATTATTATTTTATAAATATATTATTGTTTTTTATATTTTTATTATAAATAAAACTATGATTTTCTTATTAATAAAACAAATCTATTGGAAATGATAGGAAGGGGTAGAATGGGAAGAAAAGATATATTGGTCATATTTTGGGAATAAAAGGATTGTACTCCTATTGTTGAATTTTGGGCTTATTTTACTCCTACTAAGGGCTAATACCTGTTGATTTAAATGCACTCCTCCAAATAGGACCGTATCAACCAATTCCAGCAACGATTTTGTTATAGGCCAAGAAATCAGAGAAGAGACCATCTAAAATCAAAATTTTATCCGGAACCACAATTGTGCCCTATTCTGGTAACGGTTTCTGTAACCACTTGAAACCGTGTCCACATCAGCCCCACAAGCATGATCTGTTTTAGCTACACTAGCTTTCTACATTTTCAGTTGATCATTTTGTCTATAATTTCATCTGTTACTTTTGTACTCATACCAATCTTTTTTACATCAACAAGATTACAATTGTAAAATAAAAAGAATGTTCTTTATTTTCGTAAAAAGCTTGCAAGCGCAGGTGTACCACTTACATGTTGAAATGGAGTAACTGATTTGGCAATAGAAAGTTAGAAACTGCCAGAGAGAAAAAATTCTTCCATATATTCGATATGTAACTAATGTTTTTCAACTCTCAGAGTCGGAACTCTTCTCTTCTTTAGGGGGTGCAAACTGCCTGCAGAGCCGAGATTTTGTCCATGGATCCATGGCTGGTCTTTGTGGTGGCTGTGGGGTGGGTGGTTTTGATTGTCTGAGTTCATTCTCCCTGTCAATGAACCTATAGAGGGTCAAATAGAAATTTGTCAGCTAAAACTAGGACTGGTTTGGGATGGTGGCTGTGGACTGGTGTAGAAAACTCGAATTTGCAAACCTGGAAGTGATAGTCAGTTTGTTATCCTCAGTTTACAAATATAATTAGTTTGGGTTTATTATACAACATATGTATATAATATATATACACGTATCATAAAATTTAGTCATAAAACAAACAAACGGCAAACCCATTATCATCCCAAACAGTAGAAATTAATAGGAATGCTAAACAATTTCCAGTAAGGTCCTTTTCATAGCATATCTTGTTAGCAATTCATTTTTCCCTTGTCTTGTTTTCCTTGGGAAATTCAATCAAAACTAAAAGACAATCGGTTCTTGAGCAAAGCACGGATAAGGTAGAAAAAACTCACTCAATATATGCCATAGGAGCAGCATCACCAACTCGAATGCGTGTTCTTAACAATCTTGTATATCCGCCAGCTCTTTCCCTGCAAGTTGCGACCATGGAGATGTTATGGCACCCCCAGCAAAACCTTAATAAAAATAAATTAAAATAAAACAAGAGCTAGTGGTGGTTTAGAAAATCCATATATATTCACCTGTATCTATAAGCCAGTTCAGTAAACAGCTTGTGAAGAACATCATCACCACGCACAAAGCCAGCTGCACGCCTCGCAGCACACAGAGTACCCTGCAAAGTTTGAGCTGGATAAGATAGCTCCACGGAGGAAGTGATATAATCCATGACCATAATCCATATCTCATTAAAGAAAGTTGAGAACATTGGATAGTATCGATATTAAAGCGTGAAATCCAGGATAATGGAACATGTATGCACAGAAAAAATGAAGCCCTTCTTCATATAACATAGGGTGACAAATGAAAAAAATTCCATCCCACAAAACTTCACCATCTTTGACTTTATTGGAATATTGGTCAATATGGTTAAACTTTCACCAATCATATATTTGTATGCGGAGTTGTGTATTATATGAAAATGTTCATCGTTTAAAATACTCATATAAAAGCATAAATCTTATAGCTTTCACAAAGGTACACTAATTAAAATCAGTTGCCAAAGTGTACCACTATTAATCAAGAAAGCCAAATGGCAAATTTTTTTGGGATGGAGGTAGTACACATTAAGTGATAGGAATAGTGGCATTCAGTAGGGGTCCATTTGAAATTCAGAAATGCTAGGGAAACTGATGAAGAAAATAGAGACGAAAATACAGGGGATATTTGGGAGGCAAGGAAATGTAGGAAAAAATAAAGAAATTTGGGAGGAAAAGACTTATTAAATGCACGACCAAATGCGCAAAATCACAAAAGCGCAGGCGAGCCAGTATTTGTGCCTCATCTTTTACTAAGCGACAGTGCATGAGAAAGCATCGCTTTGGGCGTGTTTGGTTGCTTTGCTTAAGCTCTAAAAGCATCACTTTTTAGGGCTCTTCACGAAAAGCACTGTGACCGGTCAACCATACCACAGTGAATAAGAAAATAATTAGAAAATAATTATTTTCTTTACAAGGAATTATCTTGGATCCAAACATGCCACAGTGAATAGGAATATAATTAGTATTTCAAATAAGAATACTACACCTGGTTTTTCTACGATGGCATCTGAGGCACTTAAGTGAACATGTTGAATTTGAGCTGGAGGCAATTGTTTATTGTTAGATGACTAGATGCTTCAGTAGACAGGAACTAATGAACGTGGTGAGATGGTACTCAAAACATTATTTAGTTTCATGTAATCTGCCAAATGAAGAAACATCCTCTAAAAATATGGACATTTTCCAATAATATAGGAAGATGATTGCCCATCATGGAAAAACATCAACCCTTTAGGGTCCGTATGGATGTCAGAAAATGATGCAGAAAGACACTAAGAAGATAAATAGATAGCCAGTCTCAAAGGGGATAAAATTTGAAAGAAGATAAAAAAAAAACGTTTCAAACTAAATACATCAGTTTCAGATATTTGTTAAAACTTCGAAGCTATTTTACCTATGCATATCTATTAGATTGAGACTAACAAACCTAAATAAGTGTTGAATCAGAAAAAGTTATTACCAAATTTGATTTTCAGATTTTCAATTTCTAATGTAAATGCAAAAATTAAAAATTCATTTTGCTAAGCATTTATTTCCTTCCGGGTCGGGTTTTTGCAAAACCCAGAAATTACCCGTAAGACATCGGGTTATTAAAATTAGGGACCGAAAAAAGCCCACTATATTCGGTCCGAGTCGGGTTTTTTGTTGCCCGGGTTCGGTCCGGGTTCGGGTTGGGTCGGTTAAAGCCCGAATGTGAAATCACTCATTTTTCTTTTATATTTTAAAATCTATTTTCAAATAAAATTAATAAAAAGTACAAACCGCAAATAAAATTAATAAAAATCACAAATATTAGTCTCCAAAATCACCAAGAATTCAAATCCAAAGAAGACAATTATCATAATATTTTGTTTAAGATGCATAAAAATAAGTAATATAGGTGTTCTAAAAATGTTATGAAATAAAATTTATGGATAAAAATGTGACTAAAGTTACTATAAATATGTTTCCATGGTCATTACGGTAAATAAATTGAACATATTTGTAGTCACTAAAAGTTATTAAGTCATTTTTTCGTCCATTATGATTATAATCATATATTAGGAATTAATTTATAAATTATATTGGTATATTATATTGATTTTATATTAAGGCTAATTGTTTCGGGTTTTATCGGTCCGGGCAAGGTTATAGATTTTAGGGCCCGTTAAAGAGCCCGAAATTTCAGGTTCGGTCCGGTTTTTTTTATTCGGGCCGGTCAAAAAGAAAAAACCCGGACCGATATCATAATTCGGGCCGGGCCAGGGCCGGTTTCCAGGTTTCGGTTCGGGTTTTCCCACCCCTACCATTAAGTACTCTAATCTAGACCACAGTTTCTTACTTCTTAGTAACTGGCTATGTTATCCAACTGCCGCGTACTCACTACTAGGGTAGGGCTTTGCTGATGAGTACTTTGACACACATTGTTCATTTGTTCCATTTTTCTACTCGCCTACTCGGTGACAAGATAGACTCATCGAGTTACTCCGCAGGCAGTAAATGGATTTGTAGAGGGGTATTTGAGAAAATTTAAAGCTAAATTAGGATATTGTGGAATTCACGAATAAATGGTAGGGATTTTTAGGGGGCATTTGTGTTTCCCAATTTAATTAATACAGGCCCGAGTAACCTGAGTGCTCGGCTCAGTTGGCTGTACTCGCTACTCAGCCTTTGTCCAATTTATCACCGAGTAGCGATTTAGCTGCTTAGGTTAAGGGTGCATTGTATCACCCCTCAAATACAACTTCCAATTTTTTAAAGACAATCTCACATTCTAATCCCATGAAACTGATCAATATAATGAGTATGAGTGATCTAGGATGTGGAAATGTTTAGATACCAATGAATGCACTCCTATGTCCTAACCCCATTTGAACACATTAATTATCACAAATGACCTAATACATTTTGAATCAATCACGAGATCATCATGCATAATTGCATACCTCTTTCCCAAGCTGCACCATATTATCAGCAAGCCTACGAACTTCCTTAGCCTACATAAGCCATAAGATGATAAGAATAATAGAATTAAGGTTGCACAATTAGTTGCACCCAATACCTGGTTAGACAGCACCCTACCCTCCCACAAAAAAAATAACAAAAAAAGGAAAAAATGTCTATGATCGTAGTAAGTAATCAGTAAGACAACCGAACCATAATACTTGACTTAAGTATTTCTAATAAAGAAAGCTCCTTTGAAGTTTTGATACTAAATAGGATAAAAGAGGGAATCAGATCCAATCGTAACTACTGCATTCTGAAAATGATACGGGAAATGTGAAGAAATTGAGTAAAATGAGAATACTTTAGCGACAGTGGTCTCTATACGCTCATGCTTGACTAACTGCGACACCATTGTCCTGTAAGCGGTTGAAAACTTATTATTCAGGAAAGGAAAAGGAACAGAGCCCGTTGATCAAAAATGAAGAATTTATGTTAGAAAATGACCTGAGCATGGACAGTCGATGACCCGTTGGGCGATTCAGCTTCCTCAGCTTAGTCATTTCTAGTGCGCGAGAAAAGGATGAAAAACCCTACAAAGGGAGAAGGCTTGGTGAACAGCAACGGTTAAGCATCTGGTAACTGAAAGGGAAAAATTAGTTTGTTTTGAGAAGAGTGTGGAGAGGCCTTGTCGGGCCTGTTGCGCAACCTGATTCTTTATTGGGCTTCAAATAAAAGACATGCTCCCATATAGTACGTATCACAAGTAGACTAAAAATTGAAAAGAATATCAAGTTGATAATGCTTAGCTAAAAATAAAAATCGAAAAAAAATTGGAGTATTGAAAATTAAGTTCAAACATCAAAGAAAACGAATTTACATTTTAAAAAGTAAATCACAAAAATACAAAATATATAGAAAATTAAAAAAAAACTACAAGGTGCAAAAAGGTAATTTAATTTTGTAAAAAGGTATGAAATACGATTTTGTAACTTATTTTTTAAATTTAAAAAATAAATCAGTAGTTAAATAAAAAAGTTTAAAATAGTTAAAAAAGAAATTACATTTATAAATAAAATGAGTAAAATATGATAGAAGTGTTTGGAAACTATTAAATCATATGAAAAGTGATTGGTGAAGAAGTGGGTATTTTAAAAATAGTTTGGAAATATACATATTAGAAGAACAAAAAATCAAAATAACCATATAAAATAATAAAACATTCAAAAAGTTGAAATTAATTTTATAAATAGGAAAAAACATAAAATGTATACTAAATATTATAAAAAACTTTGAAAATTAATGTAACCTAAATGAGTGTAAAATTGAAAACTCGGAATTTAAAAAAAGTTATAAACCAAAATAATGAATTTGAAAACTAAAAAAATGAAAAATATAAATTTTTGGATGGAATGTTTCTAAAGCACTTATGATTTAATTTATAATTATTGTTATCGTTTTGTTGTTAGTTTTTGTTCCCTATTGTTTCCTTTTGTTTATAACTCTAACCTTTATTGTTTTTTATGTTTCTAATTTTTGTGTACATTCATAATTCCAAATTTATCATTTTAGGTGTTTGTATAAAATGCTATATAGATATTTAGTTCTTTAAGATTGTAAAAATGATAATTTAGAAGCTAAAATCAAAATCTAAATTAACAATAAATAATAAGCAACACAGCGCAACAAAAAACAACATGGTGCAGCAAAATGCAACACGATGCAACAAAATGTTACACAGTGCAACAAAAAACAACACGGTGCAACAAAATGCAACACGGTGCAACAAAATGCTACACAGTGAAACAAAAAACGTCATGGTGCAACAAAATGCAACACGATGCAACAAAATGCAACACAATGCAACAAAAAACAACATGGTGCAACAAAATGCAACACGATGCAACAAAATGCAACACGGTGTAACAACATGCAACAGATGTAATTAAACAAACGGAAACAAAAAGCACTACATCAACTTGGTTTTGCTTCTTGTTATTTCTTCTTCCAAATGTCGCCCTTACTCACATTAGTACTAGATGATGATACTTTTCCCCTGCAAAATAACAATCTTCAAAGTGAAGAATAAACCAATCATAAAAAACTAGTGAACTATATAACAAATATTGAACAACAAGTCTTATCTAAATAGTTTGTTTGAAGTACATTCTGAATTTGGATAAAATTGAACATAAAATGAATTGTATAAAATTGTAGCGAAGGATTCCCAATTTCCCATGGAAGAGAAGAAATGAGGTCCACTTTAGACAGTTAAAACATTAAAATATGATATGGAATCTATTGACCTTAAAGATCTCTATTTAATTTGTTACCTAATTTGGATGTATAATCATGCACATAATTGGATAACAAATTTTGAGAGTTGCAAAAAATAAGAAATTAAAGTCACACACATGTTTGAAGAGAATACTTCAAATTAAATGCTTGTCTTTTCTCATTATGGGTTTACAAATATATTAACAATTCTAAAAGAATGGTACACAAATATTATTACTAGATCTGTAAAAAGATGAGAAACATATATTATTACTGTATTTTTGCCATTATTGTGACACATAAAAAAGACATACATTTCTAAAAGATCAAAAACACATACGTAGTATATTATTACCAGATCTATAAAAAGATGGAAAACACAATTCAACCTATAATCACTTTAATTTTGAGTGTAAAGTGAACAATAAAAAATTATATCAAAGTAAAAATCCAAATGCTATTATGTAGATAAGTAAACTTAACAATAAATTTCAGGTTTCTACTCTCTAAAATCAGTTTTAGGAATCTTAAATTGGAAGCAGTCAAGAATTAGAAATTCATTGAGAATCATTTGTCACTTGATTCACACATATCCTCTCTTGTCTCCCCTGCGTGCTACAACACTCATCATTCTTCACACATCTTCTACTCATACATAAACAAACCAAGAGAATCCATCCATGTAAATAGTGGGCTGAAGGTGCAAATAAGTGAGTGTTCCTAATAGATCTTAACACCTAAGAATCGATATTCATAAAAATGCATTACCAACTTAAATCACCCTACCCCAGATTGATGAAATCGAAGCATCTAACGTGGAGTTAAGGTATAGTAAATCATGGTAAAGAAATCCAGAAACCCGGTTACTTAAAGAAATCCAGAAACCCGGTTACTTTCTAAAAAATGTCATTTTCACTTATAGTTATAAATGTCTAGTTAAATTTATTTTTCCTATAAATTTTCAAACACATAATTTTGGTTTCATATTATGCATACATATCAATTTTATAGTTTTATTTGCTTCAATCTAGGGAAAGATTAATTTGAAGAACGTTTTCCCATGATATTGTACATGCATACTCATTGAACTAACCTTACAAGTTCAAATAATTTATCAATAAAAAAATGGAAAATGCTCGGTGTACATGAGTTGTACACAAACTGTACACAAAATCCCCCTAGTTACCCTTTTCTAAATGAATTGCTTGTGTACACAGGCAACTAAGGGGATTTTGTTTACAGTTTTGTGTACAACTCATGTACACTAAGCATTTTTCGGACATAATTTGATACCCAATTGCCTGTGTACACTAGGCATGGACTCGGGCCGGGTCGGGCCCGGGCCGAGCCTAGACCCGGTCGGGCCGCCGGTTTGTATCTCATGGACCCGGGACCGGCCCGAGGGTTGGATGGGTCCGTTTCGCCCCCCCCCCCCCCCCCCCCCCCCCCCGGTCACGGGTCGGGCCACCCGCCGGGCCGGGCCGGGCCGATTAAACTATTTTTTTATATAATTTATACTTTATAGTTTTATACAAGTATTAAAAACAAACTTCAAGTGCATTTATTTGAAATGAAATAAGAACTACATTTGAAAATTAAGACAAACTTCAAGAGAAACATATATTTTGTAAATTGTAATCAATCGAAACTTCCCGCACCTCCCGATCCTTTGGCTTTGTCACATGACTTAATATGCTTCATTGCCATCCCGTATCCGCCTGAAACCACCATGCTACATTTTTTCCCGCACCATTTGCAAGTTGCGTACCACATCCCGGTCCTTGGGTCCTTCTGCTTATCAAAATTATACCGTATAACGGCATCTTGACTTTCCATCTTAAAAATGGTAGATATAATAATTCTACAATGGATGGAGATGAAGATGGGGAATGGAGTAACGTTAATACAAAATTAAACAAGTGTAAATAATAGAATGATTTCGTACCTCTTTCGGACTTTCAGTCTTTCGGATGGGAGTAATAGAATGACTTCAAATTAATTAGATATAATTCCAACTATATTAATAGATATAATAAATGTATAAGTAATATATAATTAGATAAGAAATATAAGTAATATAATGTTATAATGTATGTATTTATAAATTATAAGTAGATAATTAATATAAAGTAGATATATAAATAATAAATATAATATATTGGAGAACAAGAGAATTAGAGAGTTAAGAATAGGATTTAGGAAGAATTGGAGAAGAGATATGAAAAAATGTTTTAGATTAGGAGTATTTATAAGTTTTTTTACCCCCCACCCCCAAACCCCCCGGACCCCCCTGAGCTCACCCCCCAACGGCTATTTTGGCCCAAAAGTCCAAAACATTTTTTTTTAATGTGACCGTTGGACCCGGACCTAGGCCCGACTCGGCCGGGCCGGGTCAACTATTTTCGGAACCGAGCCCGCCCCGCCCATCCCCACCGGTACGGGTCTACACCCGATCCCGGACCGCTAGACCGGGCCGATCCCGAGCCCGCACAGTAGCGGGCCGGGCCGGGTCACGAGCCGGGTGGCCCGAACCGAATCCACCCCTAGTGTACACAAGCAACGTACACATTTTGTGTAATCTTGTGTACGCCAAGCATGACCCATAAAAAATTAGGATGATATATCGATTTGATTTTACTAAACCTAACTAATCCAATCAATTAACGGCATCAATCCACAAGTCATCGACCAAACCATGACCAAAATATTCACCCGAAATGATCTTATACCATCACCAAATACTAGTGTACATAAATAAGCTGCCATCGGAACTCTACAATGAATTCTACTACCATATATGCATTTCCGGCGGAAAAAAAAATCATTAAAACCGACAAAAGCTCCTAAACCCTAACGGGCAAACCATAATTGTGGAAAGTCCTGATCCTCCCATCCAAACCAGCCGTCACAATAACAAGCCCCCAGGCTGGAGATCGCGAAGTGTTGTTGTTCACCAGCTTTGATCGAAGATGGTCATCCTCATCATCATGATTATCGCCGTTTTCAGGGGTCGGTACATTGTACAGAGGAAGCACTTCCTCGGGCCACGTCACAGAAACCCTAGATGAGATTTCCGTGGAGAACCAATTTCCAAGGGAAAACCTCTCCGAATCCGCCCAAATCCTCGGAGGAGAAGGAGCCATCTGCGACGAGCGTTCGCCTACCCAAGGTATTGCGATGGAAGCTCCCTCCGAGATGAAATGCTCGAATGAGCGCTCAGATTTCACCTGCTTGGGGTCTTGGACTCTTCTGTCCTCGTAGTTCCAGAGATACACCTGTGAGTCCTCCCCAATCGATATTACGTGTTTCCCGTTTGGCGCCGCGTGTGCTGCTGAAGTATGATTTCCTGATTTTCTAGGACCTGATAAATATGGAAGGGCAACTCAGTCATTTTGCTCCATTACTGTCCAAAATCAACAAACAGTAAAGGATTACTCACACTGCTCTAGAATGATTTACATTTTTTACTTTTTTCAGCAATGAACTTCCATTTCATTTTGTAATTTGGAATATCAATTTTTACCATACTCAGAATTTGGTTTCTGTGATATATGCTAATCTTGAATATAATCATGAGCAACTTGAGAAATCATCCATTATCCATACCTCTGTATTTACAAACAACTTCATGTCCATCAAGTATACGAATCTTGGAGTCTCCAGATGTAATCATAAACTTTTGAGAACCATTTGGTAAAAACTGCAATAGGTTGGAATACAATGTGAGTACAAAGCTTCAAGGTTATGAAAAAATGTTTTAAAGAGTGCAGAATATGATACTCAGTATGATTGAATAAAACCTGAATGCCTGTAATTATATTGCTAGTTGACCTCCTCCTACCACCAAACTGTAACTCAGCATCTAGGTAAAGCTCACTTTCTGCATTCAAAGAAAGTGTTCCAGAAAATATTTAGAAAAAAATTAGAAATAATGACATATATAAACCTAAAATATAAAAAAATTGACCTTTCCGATGTAAAAAAAATCGAGAGACGTGGCAAATGAACATATAAAAAGTGGCATTTAAAAAAAATCAATGTTGTATTCAATATTATAGTGACTATAATATGTTACCTATTAATATAATTTCAGAAGTAGTATAGAAAAAGCCTACAATATATTACTAAAAACAGATGGAGATGACATTACAAAAATGCATACCTGTTTGATAGAAATGGCAAACACCAGATATAGAGCCAACAATGAAACCCTGTATCATTTAGATTAGAAGGAAATAAGCATTCAAATCATCAATTTACCACCGAGCAGTCAAGCAAACAAACAGAAGGGGTTTGACTGTTTACCTTCCCGTTTGGCTGGTAACATATAGCAGTCACTATATCATGTATATCAGCCCAGTCAGCAACTCGCTTGTCTGTCACTCGCCAAACGCGTGCTTTACCATCTATGCATCCACTTATGAAAAGGTCTTCATCAATAGGATTGAACTGGATGCACGTTACTGGTACCAAAAAACAAATTGCCCTCGTCGTTTAGTTCATCAACTATAGCTTAATTAATTAAGGATATTAATAAAAAACAAGACTGATTCAATAATTCTGATCCACACCATAGTTATTGTGATGGAAGACACCATGACATTCATCAGACCCCACTTTCCATAAACGAACAGTGTTATCTTTCGATGAAGACAAAAGACTCTGCAATCAAAATATACACCAAAATGCTCAATATCATAGTACATCAACTTTATTTTCTAAGAATTAACTAATTTCAATCATATCTTAGTTTGTTATTTCATATTTATGTTCAAGAATTAGTGTATCAGTATCACAATATGGTAAAGAAAATTATTTGCATTAAAATTTAATTGACTGGTTCTTTTATGAGAAAAAGCGTTTGGAAAATCAATTTTAGACAATTGAGTCAGAACAAAGGCCGGGTATTTTGATTCTCAGGAGAAGAAAGGTAGACTAATGCTACCAAACAGGGAGCAAGTAAATTGATTATTGAATTAACTCACATTGGTTGTGGAAGACCATGCAAGGTCTAAAACGGCAGAAGTATGGCCATAGAACTCATGAATCGGTGATTCTTCAATCTGGAATACCTTCTCAGGTATCTCAACACCCCATTTCTTACCTCTTCCAAGCTCAGATTTGAAGAAATCGGAAGCCGGAGCCAATAAGACACGCCAAACACGAACCATCCCATCTTCACCGCCGCTAGCCAGGTACTGCCCGTCGGGACTGAACTTCATTGTCCTAATCACGCCGGTATGACCCTTAATCTCTTGTCCACCATATAAAGCAGTAAGTTCCATAAACTTCTTTTTCCTGCTTGGGCGAACTTTTAGAAAGCCCCCAGTCCGGGGATTGCAAGAATGGCCTCCTTTTATCTTACGTAAGAAGGGTTTCCACCATTTACTCTTCTTTGATTTCATGGTTGGGCAGCTTGTAGAAAGATCATCATCAACCAAACAATTTGCATCACCAAGGCTACAATCTCTTCCAACACCACATTTCAAATCTTCACCTTCTTCCCCAATAGGCCAAGAAGAAGAAGAAGCAGAGGAGGAGGAGGAGGAACACACTGTTTCTTGGCGATGGTGGTCGTGCATCCTTTCACTGGTGAACTTAAACTCAGAAGTAGTGTCCATTTTGCAGAAGAAGTTCTCTCGTCTTTCCTTCACACTATGGAGTCCATTCAACCAAATATCATACCCAAATTGGTCTCCTTGTTCCCAAACAGGTTCCTCAAATGATAAACACTCGAAAGAATCGAAGAAGACCTCTTCTCCTTCTTCAAAATTCTGCATTTCTTGCGAATAACTCAACAACAGGTCAAATTGCCACCCGCAAATGATTCATAATAATCCAAGAATGGGTAACCTGAATGTGGACACAGCGTAGGAATTCCAATCAAAAAGGATATAAATATTATTCTACTCAAAAGACAATGCCCAACTATAACATTGACTTGTTCACACACCACCGGAAATTCATAAAAGAAAGTCACAAACCAACCAAACAGGAACACAAGGCTATATTATTATTATTATTATTATTATTATTATTATTTCTAATAAATGACGTGTTTTTGTTTTGTGTACCTCGACTTCATAGTACAGCGTATACCGCCGACCCTTCCTAGGATTGCGGTGGTTGATTGAAGAATAGAGAGAGCCAAATGAGGAAATGCGTTCCTATTGTTTCTGGGAGGTAAAAGAAAATGCAGAGAAGAGGGTGGAAGAAAATAAAGGTGAAAACTTTGAGGATTTCATGCAACAAAAAAGCAGAGTAGTCTGGAGATCTGGCTAGTGATGAAAAAGGGTATTTTGGGGCAGTGCGAGAGCGGCGCTGTGCAGGAATGGGGTGCGTAAATGACGACAGGTAGGACTGCGGGAAAAGGTTAAAAGGGGTTTAGCTTCCGTAGGTTTTGTCGTGCCCGTACTTTGTCTTTCTCCGTATAGTATATGTATTATGCTGCTTCCCAAGTCAAATCCAATTCGTATACACTTCAAAATACGCAAGTCAAAATGTGTACGAGCAGACGCGCCTCGCAAGTCAACATACACAACCATTTCATTCATTCATATACAACCGCCGCGAAAACAAATGAAAAGAGAAGAATCCATTAGCCATGCGAGAAATTGAAATATTATTACGAGGCGCGTGCCACAAGAGCATTGGAGTATTGGACATGGTTCAATTTGTAATTAAACGATGTCATACGGAAATGAGGAAATCTTTCATAATTACTAAAAAGTTTTTTACTTTTTCAAGAGTAAAAAAGTTTTGAAAATCAAAAATAGGAGTATCATGTTTTTTATTCCTTGAACAGGAGTAAATTTCTGCCAAGTTTGGCATTATTAGACTTTAAAACATGGCATTTTTTTCCAAACTTGGCAGATTACTCTTATTCAGGAAATAAAAAACATGATACTTCTATTTTGGAATTTCAAAACGTTTTTGCTCCTATTTAGAGCAATTTCTATTCATTTTAGTGCATCTTTGAGAAGCAAAAGTCTACCTTTTATTTTTTTATTTAAGGGATTTTTTTTAGCTTTTGATTCATAAAACTTAAATACAAGTATGTATTTAAGAGAAAACTCTCAAATAAAACAGAAGATGGAGTCCCTGACATTTAATTGAGGTACTTTGCCCAATACCTCAATTAAGCCCTCACATTTATTAATCACCCAATGGAGTCCCTGAACTAACCAAAACCACCCAATCGGGCTTTTTAGCTGGTGGACTGTCGGTTAGCCCGTTACCAGCTGAGTTGGACTCCCTCGTGTCCCTCCCTTATCCGACACTTAAGTTGATGTGGCTAACCCCATTTTAAAACTAAAGCCTTTCTAAGCAGCTAACACAAATCCTTCTTCTTTTCAGACCTATGTATTTGCCCTCCCTGCGAGTGTGTGATTCTACGAGCCTTCGCAAGTATGTCGCCTTCATCATCATCAACAGTTGTAAAAGAACGAAGTCGTACTATGGACTACGAGCCTGCTGTTTATTGTTGGTGCGGATTGAAAGCTCCTCTATACGTTGAACGAGGGAGTGGAAGAAGTTTTTATGGCTGTAAAAAATGGAAGGTAAATCTATGATTTGGGTGTGTTTGAGAATTACAGTGTCTTGCCTTGTTCATTGCTTGCATACGTTAAATATGTTCTCGATTTGGAATATTTTCGGTAAGATTTTAATGTGTACGGGTTGGGAGTTACGGTTTTTTTATGGAAGGAAGACGTAGGAATAAAAGAAATTGTTAGGACTGGAGAGAAGAAAGAACTTGTTATGGCTAAAGACGAGCAAAATCGCAGATGAATTGAAAAATTGGTTAAAGTACTTGTCCTACTGATTTCACATGTACAGAGTGATGTTTCTTGTGTCAAAACTCTAGTTGACAATGAGGCGAAGGTTAACAAAAAGAGTAGGAAGTTGTATGGTTAGCTATGATTGTACTTCTTGGTTTAGTGGACAGTGTGTATTTGAGGATGTAAGCTTGATTTGCAACGTCAAAATACTTATGTGTTGGCCATGTGTACTGTTTTTCAGTTTGTTAGTTATGTAATTGCTTTGGAATGACACAATGTTGCTTGAATACAATGTTTGTTATGGCACAATGTTGCTTGAATACAATGTTTGTAATGACACAATGTTGCTGTTTTTCAGTTATGTAATGACTTTGTAATGCCTTTTAATGGCTTGTAATAGCTTGTCATGGCATAATGCTTGTTGAATTATTCATTATGAACTTGGTTCTTATGTTTTTCTACTGTCACAATGTAATGCATTTGTTGACATTCATTGATGATACATGGCAGATAATTTGTTGCTCACATCCTTTTCTATACAAAGCTATACAAACTGAGCCATTATTGACAGAGATTACTGCTACTTCCACTAATGCATTGGGCTATAATTCAAACAAGTTGCAAGCATCTTTCCAAAACACCTGAAAGCTGCTCATTCTAACTCTGAATGCATTGCCCATTTATTAAAGAAAATGACAATGGTGGGTAACAAGAACAAGATTAATACAGAAAATCACAATGTTGGGTAACAAGAACAAGATGAATAAATAAAGAAAAAATTGTCCTAAATAGGACTAAAACATGCTAAAAAAAATTAATAGGACTTAATGTTTTATATTCCCTAAATAGGACTCAATGTTACCATTCTACCCCTAGTCTATTAAATCCCTAAATTCGTAGTCTCCTCTTCCGCTCCTTCCCTTCAGCTCTTCTCTTACGCGGCTCCAGAGCTCTCTAAAAAGAAGGCATCGATTACATATGGCGTCCGCTTGCTCGATTCTCTACGGCGTCCGCTTGCTCGATTCTCTGGCGACACCCAGGTAATTTCTCCATCTTCTCTTCTTTTCTTCTCTTCTCTTCTTCTCGTCTTCTTCCTTCTTCTTTCTTTGTTGTTCTTCTTCCCCTGGTGCACTTCTTCCCCCTCCTGCACTCTGTTTTCTGTTTTTTTCTATTCATCTACTACCTTTTTAAATTCTATTTATTGATTTGAATTTTTTTTGGATTTGAATTTTATTTATTCAAATAAATGACACTTTTATAATCTGAGAATGTCAAAATTATTGGTTATTTGAAAAAACTGCCACTTTTGGGGCAGTATATATATCTGATGGATGGTCTACCCGGTGGTATATATCCGAAGGGTTATTACGGGGAATAACTTAGAGAGAAGTCAGAGCAAGTAAGTAAAAGTAGAGAGAGAGTGTATTCAATATGAATGCCGTTTTCAGCGTGGTTACAAATGAGGAAATGGGGTGCTATTTATAGTAGCAATAAATGCCGGACAGGGACACGTGTCAAGCGCTCATTGGCCGAGGGGTCACCTCAACTGGTTGGCGCTGGCAGCCGCATGTGGCCGCATTTAATGCGGCTGTTGGATGGGACGTCTGTGCAGGGTACGGTGATCTGCACGCATGTGAGGCGGATATCTTGTCGAGTGAGATGCCTTCGGCTATAGAGCAATGGCCGAGGGCTCCTCCAACCGATGGCACTCTGGTGCCGAGGGCTCACAGTGCCGAGGGCTACTGTTTTCGCCGTTTTCTCCCAGTTTCTTAATTTGCTTGCGAAGCCCGTCCTGTGAGAGTTTAGAGCCTTCGGCCAGGGGGCCGAAGGCACCCCTGGCGCGTAGTGCGGGCTGCTTGGTACTCTGGGCGCTGTGATCTGGGCCTGTTGGGCCTTCTGGGCCTGTTGGGCCTTTGCTAGAGTAGTAGGAGTCTGTGGGCCGGGGGTTCCCGGGCCATATACTCCATCAATATCAAAATGACAATCTGAAAATGTCATATGTCCATAAGAAAATGTCATTGTTATGGCATTTTATGGCATTTTTATGCCTTATCTGAGAATGACATAACTGAGAATGTCAGTTTTTATACGAAACTTCCATCATCATGCCATTATTCTTGACCGTCTCATTGGAGGTCTGCAAGTACAAAACTTGGGATTTTGATATTTTCATATTTCAAATTAATAAATAAATTTCAAATCCAAGAAGAAAGAAGAAGAAGAAGGAGATGAAGAAGAAGAAGAAAAAGAAGAAGGGAAGAAGATTACGTACCTGACTTGGCTGAAGAAGAAGATGAGAATTCACACTTGCAGGGCATCACAATAGAGTAGCCGGAGGTTGTCTACGGAACATGCGCTAAATTCATTAAGGGCAATATTGTCCAATCGTGAATTAAGAGTCTTATTTAGGGAAAAATAAACTACAAGACCTATTTGTGCACATTTACTATGTTTTAGTCTCATTTGGGGAATTCACTCATAAAGAAAATCACAATGTTGGGTGACAAGAACTTCATAAACCATTACTGAGTTAATCCTACAGAAAAAACCATCTGTCCCACACCTTACAAGACCGTCATTACTAAAACTTGTTCAGATTACACATTTAGCAATACAGAATACCATAACTGAAATCTTCATACGCCTATATATAAGACCATAATTACATCAGACCAATGGTTTTTCCAAAATACAGAGTCAACATAACTAATCTTCCAACCGCATGTATCAGTTCATTGACCTTCCTCTCCTCCATCTCCAAGGAAGCCTCCTGTTACAATTGTTTCTCCTCCTTGTCCAGGCTGGATTCAGGCAACAAGTAAATGAAAATATGTCAAATATACATTACACTAAACATATATAACTGAGTAATAAGATCACAGTTCACATAATCTTACTTCCAAAATGGTCATCCCTGTATGTTCATTAAAATATACCTCAAATCCCCTTTCACCTCCCCCCTCTTACATCCCCCTCTTACCTCTCCCCCTTTGACCTCTCCCCATCTGAACTCCCCCCTTTTGACTTCTTCCCCTATGTATAATTTCCACGATCTGTCCCACTTTCAACACTCCCCATCTCATCTCTCCCACTTTCAACACTCCCTCTTCCTCTCGTCTTAGGTCTACCCCTTTGACCTCTTCCATCTTCAGCACTTCTTGTATGCCTTTGCCTTTCTTCTGCCCCACCATGTTCTGTGATGGGTATATTGCTTTGTGAACAAGATTGCTTATTGTGCTCGTCCCCTTTACAGATAGAGCATTTCATGATTCGTCCTTTTCTTGGTAGTTGAGACCCTGATGGTGCACGAGGTTCACTTTC